ACACCAAGGAGGGTGCATCCGAGAAGAGAGACTAGTGTTGTTCAGGATGGACAACACGTTGAAGCGAGATCGACTATCAGAGAGTCGATCGTAGAGCAAGCCCGATCGACTGAAAGAGATTCTATCGAAGAGGACGTGACCGTGATAGTACCCGTAACGGAAGAAAATTCCGGCGTTTCTGAGAGCAATAACTCCCGAGAGAGTTATGTTGAGGGTGTGGATCCCCAACCACTTGCGGATGTATTTTCCCAGGAAATCACCGAGACAGTGAATGTCTTGGTGAATGACGGATCAAGTGTAGGCGCTTATACACTTGATCTGGTGACGCCCCCGAAGTCAGCTTCGGAGGTGGTCAAGTTGCCAACGCTAGAATCGAAAAGATTCTTGCGAGATCTGCGTACTGACAAGATCAAGCAGATCTGCGTACTCGTCACAGAGGACGAGTACGTCGCCGATATTCGGTCGGCACAAGTGTCTGCTGAGAACGAACGGGTTCTCTGTAGTTCATCTATGGACGAGAGTGTCCTTGATGAAAAGACCCGGATTGAGTGATACACGTCTCAACCTTGGGAGTCTTTGTAGACATATCCGTTGTATTAGGATTTGGTGGAATTCAGGGATGTTTTCCAGGAATGCGTGCCATGCGAGCTGGTCAAAGACAAAGGCACTCGGCGTGAGATCGAACTGAAACCTGGTTCGAAATAATGTGTCATGAAGCAGTGGCCACTGCCTCGTGAACAGGTCACAGCGATCGACAAATTTATTGCCGATCGATTAGCGGCTTGTCATGTGAGGGAATCAACATCCCCACACAGCTCTCCGACCTTCTGTGTGCGACAGGCCACAGGAGGGTGGCGGAAAGTGCACGTGTTCAACAAATAGAACGCTGCAACGGTACCGGCTCAAACGCCGATCCAAGAAATGAAGTCATCATAGATTGTATGGCAAAGAGTACCGTATTTTTGTCCATGAATCTGATGGATGGATTCTATCAGATCTTCATGCGTGAACGGGACATACCGCACACAGCAGTGAGCACCCCCAGTGGTATCTTCTAAGAGTGGCTAGTGATGCCACGGGGGCTAAGTAACGCCCCACAACGTTTAACAGATGTATTACGAATCTGTTGCGATCGTTGCGCGACTTCGCACCGGGTTACTTCGACGATGTCTTCGTCCATAGCCGGGCTATGGATGGAAAGGCGGACGTGGAGGTTCATAAAATTCACGTCCGGAAGGGTCTTACACTAATGTGTGAGCATAAGCTGTTCGCGAACCTCAAGAAGTGTATATTTGCAGCAAACAAAATACCACTTCTTGGCTGCATCGTGGGTAAAAACGGTGTACGCCCTGATCCGGAAAAGATTAAGGCGATTAGCGACTGGCTTGTGCCAGTCGAAGTCAAGGGACTTCGAAAGTTCCTTGGCTTAGCGGTGTACTTGCACAAGTAATCGCGCAACTACGCCGAGATAACCTTTCATCTCTCTCGTCTGTTAAAGAAAAACGAGAGGTGGTCATGGAGTGCTGGGTGTCAGTAATCCTTCGTAGGTTTCAAGAAAAGCTTGAGATACAATCGACTGTGTTGGCGATTGCAGGCCAGGACAGACCGTTCCATGTGGTCTGTGACACCAGCGATTTTGCAATCGGCTGCGCGTTAATGCAGTACGACTCAGACGGTATTGAGCGCGTCGTCTGTTATCAATCGCGTTAGCTACAAGCAGCTGAGCGTAATTACTCAGTGCATGACAAGAAGTACTTGTCATGTAATATGTACTGGCTAAATTTCGGGTAGATCTCTTAGAAGATAGGCCCTTCATCGTTTATACTGACCATGCGTCGTTACTCACGGCTGTAAACAGCCCAAACCTCTTGCTACGAATGGCGACGTGGCTGTCTTTCTTCGCGGAGTACAATATCTTTGTCGAGAATAAAACGGGACGACTTAGTGTCGTCGCTGATGCTCTAACGCGTCGGCCCGATTTCTAGCCGACTGCTCAACCCAACAGTAGGGGTGATCCCACTATAGAAACACTGACAGTAAGTGTTTCGTCATCGAATACATTCTATGATGTGCGAAGAGCATACGCAGAAGACGAGTCTCTTCTGCGATTGAAGAAAAAAATTACGTGTTACAACCACATCGTCAAGCTTTGAAAATCTTGTCGTCTCAATACCGCTCCTTAACCAACGGTATTCTGTTCGTGATGAACTGCTGTACTATACAGCAGTCAACGGCGACACACCTCGTGTTGTCGTTCCCGCTCATAATAGTTTGCGATGGCGCATCATGTATGCGTGTCATGATGCCCCAACAAGTGGGCATCGCGGTAAAGAAAAGACTGACCTCATGGTGAGTCGTGACTTCTACTTACCCCGCCAGTATGAGTTTGTGCGCAAATACATTCGCTCTTGCGAAGTTTGTCAACGGGTGAAGCCTAGTCCTTCGTCCCGCGCGCCCTTGCAGTCTCAACAGATCCGGCATAGTTCTGGCAGTCCGCATTGATGGACTTCGTCTTTGGGTTTCCCAAAGATGCTCGCAAGAATACTGGTATTCTTGTGTTTGTTGATCGCTTCAGCAAGATGGTACATCTTTTTGCTATATTGGAGTCAATCACAGCCCAGGGCTGTGCGCATGTCTTCATCGATACTATCTTCCGACTTCACGGGTAACCCCGTGAACTCTTGTCTGATAGGGAACCTCGCTTCACTGCGTAGTTTCGGCAATCCGTGTTCCGTTCAATTGGAACACGTGTAAACACGTCAACTTCTGATTATCATGAAACAGATGGTCAGACGGAACGCGCTAGCCGCGTTATCGAAGAGATTCTTCCAGGGTAAGTCCACTCGTTTGCGAGTTGGAGTGAATTCTTGCCGATGGTGGAATTCGCCATCAACAACTCGGCGCATGCGTCGACAATGCATACACCGTTCTTCGTGAATGGCCTACGCCAATCACGTTTACCCGCCTTCTTAGAGTGTGACTCTAGTTTGAAGGGGGGACTCGATCGAACAAAAATCGATCGAATTCTTGCTCATCACCCGTGGACAATGGTGTCGACGTGATGGATCCGATGTCGATGCGATCGGTATCGATGATGATGATGATGAAGACGATGCTAGTATATTCAGCATCACCAGTGACTGCCATAATGAGGACGATGACGCCACCACAGGTTCTGGTTCAGACAACATTCTTTCTGTGGTGCACACGAAGCGCACTGCTGTTGACAAGGATGAATCAGCAGAGGAATATCTGCTGACTCGCAAAGTGGTTGTCCGCTTCGTTTAAGACTCTATTGCAGATGCAATAGCCAAGCAGAAAAGAAACGCAGACAAACCTATAAGCGATTCATGCCGCGCGGTCCTTCAGATCACCCTGGGGTGAACTGCGAGTACTTCGACTCAGTTTGAACTCCTTGAACTACCCGCACCTTTCATTACACTATGGGGATTTTCGGCCAGTAGGGCCCCCAGCTCACCCAACTATCACACGCCTTGCGCGGGTTGGCAGGGCGGCCACTTCTGCGTGGTTGCTCGTCTACTATATCAGCCTATCTTCGGCGCCCTGTAATCGAACCCCCACCGGGTGCTGATCCAGGTACCTACCGCTCCCAGCTCCAGCGGTCTACCACTCGGCCACTGGGGTCGGTCAGACAAACATATATGAGTAAATGTTCTCACATTTATTGTAGTAGATTTAGTTTACTGTCTACAGTAAATCTTCCAAAACACGCAGTGACAAACGTGGGCAGCAGCAAATTACTGCCCAAGTACATCGGTCCATTTCGTGTGTTGCACCGAATGGGCAACGCATACACGATTGAACTGCCCCGTAAGATGCGTACGCATCCTACGTTTACGTTGGACTTCTCCGCCCGTACTGTCAGTACGAGCCCGTTTCGAGATGCGAAGAACACCTCCGCGGTCGAGAGCCGAGACCACCTTCAAGTGGTCCCGTTTCAACGATCCAGTCTGGTCGACTAGCAGAGCGACCTGCTCACGCAGTTGAGCGACCTGCTCACGCAGTTGAGCGATGTCTTAACGAGATGCAGCCAGCTCGTCACGAAGAGAACTAGTCGAGCGTTCGTTCTCAAGTTGCGCGAACGCAAAAGCGGCACGATCGTCCGAACGATCGTGGGTTAGGGGATTTTAAGTATCCCTCCCAAGATCCTGAAGTTCATAACGCCGAGTCCAATTATGAGCCAAGTCATCTTGCAACTGTTCCGTTACACGGTTCAGCTAGTGAACATCAAGCTGATCCGAACCTCGATTTGGATCAGGTGTTCCCGCCGCTGCCAAATCCTTTGGTGGACTCAAGCGGTGGGCAACGCTTTCTAGTAAAGCGTATTTTGAACCACCGCGACGTGAATGGCGTCCGGACGAGTTACCTCGTCCGCTGGCGTGGCTATCAACCGGCCTGGGATGGATGGGAGCCTCGTGCCCAGCTGATTGTTGATGTCCTAGTTCTTATCGAGCAGTATGACGAGATCCACCCGCTGCATTCAAAGAAGGGCCTTCGGAAAACGACCTCCCCGAACGTGAGTACAGGAATTGCAAAGTGTCAATTTCTTCGGCCATCTCAGAAGAGATGTGCGCCCTCCAGTAGGAAACATTAGGGAGGTAGGCCTCCTGGGGGCACGGTTCGAGTTTTTCAGCAACCTGGCCACGAATCACCCCACGAAAGACAGAGCAATCCTGCCTCTCTTGACAGTCTGTGCAGCTTGTATCGCGCCCCGAATGGGTTGCGTTTCTCAATCCTAATGCGAGCTGCATCAAGTTTACCGAGCCAGGCCTCACGGCCAATGCACTCGATGTTATGGATGAGGGCGTTTCATCCTTGCACCAAGGCCTTTCCGTCTCGAACACGGCTGCCATTGTACCACCGATGCTTGAAAAAAGCATCGGTGAAGAATTCTTCCTCAGCGCGGATAGTTTCCGTGCTGAATTTGGGAGGACAGATATTCCTACGATCGATCTACGGGATTCAATCTCGATCGTTAGTCATGCCGGCCAACCGGTCCAACTCCTTGGATGACGGCATCCAAGGAGACTCCACTTGAGGAGCGTGGTGCAGGGGATTTCGGCCCTGGCCTCTTGAGTAATGCCAGCGTGATCGCTGACACCAGTGACACCCCGATACCTGGAGTTGCTTCTCTCGTGGTGATTGTATGGGACATTCTTACCATCACCACGCGTCTCGGGTGGACTTGCGTGAGACGAGGATTCGTCAGAAGAATCGCTCGGCTCAAAGATCTTGGACACGATGCCGCCACGTTCCCCAGAGCCAGTCAACCTGCCTCTTGCAGTGTCCTCCCCGGTTGTTCCTGAGTCACGAGTTGTCTTCTTCGAGTCGGATGCATCATCCGACTCGATGGAATTGATGAGCTCTATTTCAGACTCATCCGGATTGCGATTCGCAGCACCCGCTGCACATGCAGTGGATGTATCTGTCGCACTTGGTGACGCACCACGTGGACTATTCACAACAGGCACCGCCTGTTGCTGAATCGCAACAGCAGGCGAAGAATCACCTGCTGCTGAATCAAGAGAAGAACTACCTTCGGCTTCAAGCATGCGTGCAACCGCCCATCTGGCTGCTTTGGCAGAACATCGCATGAACTTTGAAACCATGCGTTGAATCGGAATATGAGCTGGAATTTGACCAACAAGTGCTCCCCTTCCCATAGTGATCTAACGGTGATCACCTCTGTCCTAATCAGCTGAATTCAATCAACAGGTGATTGATGTTCAAGGAGGGGGTTATGTAACGGGGTAGCCCGTTACATGATATTGACACCAAACGGTGTCAATAGGGATATTGATTAGCGTGACAATTCCCTGCCAATATTATCTCCTTTTGGATAAAATTCATGATCTGCTCAAAGATTGGCTGATACAGATATATCTATCATCTGTAGATTACCACCAATCGCCGCTGGACGCGCGCAATGAGTGGTGAGCAGGTTGTCGTCATACGACGACGTAGTTTAATACACTTAGATAAAGATTAAAATTATTTTGATAGCTTAACTATATTAAATACAGCTCTCCTTTTACCCTTTGCTCAGCTTAGTTGTTGAGTAGAATAGCTTCCTCTGCACGTAATAGTTTACGTATAGTTTCGTGGCACCCCAAACAAAGGGTGCCCCGTTTCAGACATCCCAAGCCCTTTTTACCAGGTCAACGGGCGCACTGAGCGCCCGATGAATATTACGATGCCCCCGGCTGCGGCCCATTAAATTTTCACTTAGACAAGCCCTAAACGGTGACTACTGCTCAGGCAATGACGTTGGCTCTTCTTTCTACGAGACTCAAGTAAAATCCACTTGACTGAGGTATAATAGCTCGTCGTCGAAGAGGCTCTTTTTTGTTGGTAGCGAGTGCTACCCAATACAGGCATTCCTCATCCTATGAGGCTCCCCAGCGGAACCTCCATCATCCATACCCGGACTTATGTAGATCATTCATTTTGGAAATGCATGCCTAATTTGCCTAATCTAAATCCCATCAAATGCCTCACCAAAAAGAAGCCGAATTAGCAAGTTGATGAAATTTAATGTAACCAGTCCCTTCAGTACACCCCCTCGAACCATTTGTTTACTTTCATCCGCCCAAGGGCAACCAGCAGCCCCACCCTTCCTACACCGTACCTCCTTCCCCACCTGCCAATGCACCCTGGTTACATCAGCTGTTGCATCTCTCAGCCCGCCGACATAGAATCGAACAAACATATAATCTCTATCAGTGTTCTGATCTGAAGGACATAAAGCGTGGGAAGTCAACTAAGCCACGCTCGGCACCGTTCCGATTGAAGCAAGCCGTGGAGTATGGACTACAAGGGGATGCGGTTGACCCTAAGTCCCACACCGTCACATCCATCTTGTGCAGGTTTTGCATTGATTTCGGTCGCGAAGAGGGTTCAGGCCAGAGGCTTTCGAGGACGGAATTTATCAAAACATTTCAGCCGTCGTTCAGGCCAGAAAATAATTGGACACATCTGCAACGCGAGCACTCGAAGGAGTGGGCAGTGTGCCAGGAACTTGAAGTCAGTCAAATATGTGCAGTGTACCAGGACTTTAAGGCCAGTCAAAAATATGCCTTCTACAATGTAGCAGTCCCATTCGACAATCAGATTGTGTCCTACTTAGACCCCATCCAGTAGATTACTAAGTATGAGCTGGGGGATAGTATTACCGATGGTATCATTCGTGATATGCTGTGGAGTCCGGATGGCACCGGAGGCGCAGTTACAAAAACGCATTGCGAATCTTCGATTGGAACAATGGAGACGGTGTTTATGTTGTGACGATCGCAAGTTCGGTACTCTTCCGTCTACCTGTCAAGTTCTTTGCCGTCGTCGTGAGCTTCAAGCAGAGTGTGTTAGCTATATAGGCAGCCAAGTATTTCACAAGCTGTGCTAAACTTGGCGTCGTGAATGAGTTAACTGTAGCCACCTTCGCACGACTGCGGTGTGATCTCAACTTCCTGATTCGTCCCAGCGCATTTGTCAACAATGGGAGTTTGCCCTGGAACTGAATGGAATCACGTGTCTGGATACGCCATCCATCGACTTCCGCATCCGCTATGTGCGGCAAGTTCCAATGTGCAGCTACAATATCTCTGCTCTGTCCATGATTGGCTCTCATACTGGATTGTCCCAGTCCAACCTGATTTTTGAGCTGCTGGACTACATATGCCCGCGCTGAAAGGATAGGCTAATCGAAGTGTCGTCTGACGATGTACGCAACATAACTTGTGCTGTCCGCAATGCTGTCACCAGGCTGGAGCAGGCGTCAACACGAATTCATCCGCGTCTGGCTTCTGATGAATCGATGAGAGGTTATGCAAAAAGAGTCGTTGATGTTCCTGGACGAAAGAACTTTCATGATGATACGTCTTTTCATCGTTTTTCATTTAAGGTGTCATCAACGGCTCATTGACACTATGGGGAGACTTAAAAGTTGTAAGTGTTTGCCGAAAAAGCCTCAATTTTTTGCCTTTCTACGCAGGATTTGTACCAACTGTATGCTCTTCATATTTTTTTATGCTGAATGAGGGTATGCATTAGGCCATGTCAACCTTTTTCTTTGCATTGAGCTTTATAACTACTATCTACATGTGTGTGTATACATCTCAATAGTGATATCTTTAATAGTGAAGCTCCTGCAACAACGCGCAAGAGAACGTGGCACACCCTGCGCACAGGTCATATCCAGCCATATTGAAACCAAACAAACAAATAGAATAATACAGAATGCAAAGATATGGGCACCGTACATTCTACATGACACGAACATCCTCAACCCAGAGGTTTTAGCATTTTTCCACCTTTTGTGATTAAAAAACGTAATCTTGCATAGTTTGCACCACAACACAACATAATACGAACTGTCGGGCTTCTAGAAAACAAAGCGGAAGACCGGCGCCAGCAAAATTATCCGCCAAAGGATCACGAACGGCGCAGGTGCCTCTCTCGTGTTTTCATCAAGTCCATGGAATGGAGCGAAGGACTTCCCCATCAACCGTATTTCACAAGCTGATGCCGTTGTTTTTGATCATCAACACTCCGCCAATGTCAAGAATCTCGGTCCTCAAAAGCCCTACGACATCGCCGTTGCAGCTCGTCGCTACTTCATTACCATAGCAAGATCCACTTCGTGACATTAAAAAAAATCTATTTCCTTTTTAGTTATTGTAGCAAGACGTTGTTATTGCCTGTGCCTTTGCCAAAGCCGTGTCCTTTAGCGCCATTTCCGTCGCCGTGTCCTCCCACGCATTGGAGGACGATATGTAGTCCCAAACGATGACGTAGTTTGATGGATAGCCGCGGTTTTTCTTTTGAGCGCCACTATTCTTAATACTTCGGATCGTTTTTAAATCGCTTACCCTCATTCAGCATAAAAAAATATGAAGAGCATACAGTTGGTACAAATCCTGCGTAGAAAGGCAAAAAATTGAGGCTTTTTCGGCAAACACTTACAACTTTTAAGTCTCCCCATAGTGTCAATGAGCCGTTGATGACACCTTAAATGAAAAACGATGAAAAGACGTATCATCATGAAAGTTCTTTCGTCCAGGAACATCAACGACTCTTTTTGCATAACCTCTTATCGATTCATCAGAAGCCAGACGCGGATGAATTTGTGTTGACGCCTGCTCCAGCCTGGTGACAGCATTGCGGACAGCACAAGTTATGTTGCGTACATCGTCAGACGACACTTCGATTAGCCTATCCTTTCAGCGCGGGCATAGGTAGTCCAGCAGCTCAAAAATCAGGTTGGACTGGGACAATCCAGTATGAGAGCCAATCATGGACAGAGCAGAGATATTGTAGCTGCACATTGGAACTTGCCGCACATAGCGGATGCGGAAGTCGATGGATGGCGTATCCAGACACGTGATTCCATTCAGTTCCAGGGCAAACTCCCATTGTTGACAAATGCGCTGGGACGAATCAGGAAGTTGAGATCACACCGCAGTCGTGCGAAGGTGGCTACAGTTAACTCATTCACGACGCCAAGTTTAGCACAGCTTGTGAAATACTTGGCTGCCTATATAGCTAACACACTCTGCTTGAAGCTCACGACGACGGCAAAGAACTTGACAGGTAGGCGGAAGAGTACCGAACTTGCGATCGTCACAACATAAACACCGTCTCCATTGTTCCAATCGAAGATTCGCAATGCGTTTTTGTAACTGCGCCTCCGGTGCCATCCGGACTCCACAGCATATCACGAATGATACCATCGGTAATACTATCCCCCAGCTCATACTTAGTAATCTACTGGATGGGGTCTAAGTAGGACACAATCTGATTGTCGAATGGGACTGCTACATTGTAGAAGGCATATTTTTGACTCGCCTTAAAGTCCTGGTACACTGCACATATTTGACTGACTTCAAGTTCCTGGCACACTGCCCACTCCTTCGAGTGCTCGCGTTGCAGATGTGTCCAATTATTTTCTGGCCTGAACGACGGCTGAAATGTTTTGATAAATTCCGTCCTCGAAAGCCTCTGGCCTGAACCCTCTTCGCGACCGAAATCAATGCAAAACCTGCACAAGATGGATGTGACGGTGTGGGACTTAGGGTCAACCGCATCCCCTTGTAGTCCATACTCCACGGCTTGCTTCAATCGGAACGGTGCCGAGCGTGGCTTAGTTGACTTCCCACGCTTTATGTCCTTCAGATCAGAACACTGATAGAGATTATATGTTTGTTCGATTCTATGTCGGCGGGCTGAGAGATGCAACAGCTGATGTAACCAGGGTGCATTGGCAGGTGGGGAAGGATGTACGGTGTAGGAAGGGTGGGGCTGCTGGTTGCCCTTGGGCGGATGAAAGTAAACAAATGGTTCGAGGGGGTGTACTGAAGGGACTGGTTACATTAAATTTCATCAACTTGCTAATTCGGCTTCTTTTTTGGTGAGGCATTTGATGGGATTTAGATTAGGCAAATTAGGCATGCATTTCCAAAATGAATGATCTACATAAGTCCGGGTATGGATGATGGAGGTTCCGCTGGGGAGCCTCATAGGATGAGGAATGCCTGTATTGGGTAGCACTCGCTACCAA